GGGCCTAGACCCTTCATCTGATGAAGGGTCTAGGCCCAAAACGTCAGCCTCTCTGCTCCTATGATGCTGCTTGGCCTGCTGTGTTCATCCAGCCCTGCACCTTGTTGTCTCAGATGGTTGATAAGGAGCTGGTTAATATTATAATCTTCCCACAGCTTTGGGTGAGTCATGGAGACACTATAATGGGAATGGCATTGTTGTGAATAGATTACAATATTAACACTTATTCAAGGGTAGCCTTTGAGAGAGAAACAGGTGAAATACTAACACCTGAACAAGGAGTGAGGCTCTGAAAGCTTGTGTTTTCAAATAAACCTGTTGGACTATAACATGGTGTTGTGTAATTTCTGACCTTGCAAAGAAATAGTAATGGGTTGGAAGGGATGTTTTAATTTAGTCTATATTGTAATAGCAAAATGTACTACAAGACTGCAGTTTTATGAATGAATGAATAAAATGCGGTATAGTAAGCATAGTGCGCTGGTGAGTGGTTAGTAAGAGAGTTATGAACGAATGAGAATACAATATTAGTAAATATAGAGCACTTGAGTAGGTTGGAAAAGAGACCTATAGTACAACATCTCACAGAAGGAGCAATTGAAGGAGCCTTGGTGAGCTATGGCAATGCATCTTGCAAATGTGTACATTGCTGCCATTGTGCACTGGCAGTGAAGGGAGTGAATGTTGAAAGCAGCAAACAGTGTGCCAATCAAGCAGGATACTTTGTCTTGGGTGATGTCAAGATTTTTGACTGTTGTTGCTGCATTTATCCAGGCAAGTGGGGAATATTCCATCGTACTTCTGACTTGTAACTTGCAGATAGGAGACATGTCTTGGAGAGTCAGGAGGTGAGTTACACATTGTAGAATTCCCAGAGTTTGACCTGTTCTTGTAGCCAATGTATATATATGACTGGTCCAGTTTAGTTTGGTCAGGATATTGAAACTGGGGTATTCAGAGATGCTAATGCCATAAAATATCAGATTCTCTTGAATGATATTGTATTTGCATGGCAAATGTGGAGAATGAGTGTTTCTTGCCAATCTTTATCCCAAGTCTGCATCGATGGAGGTATTGTTGCACAAGATACCGACTGCTTTAGTATCCAAATGTATTCAGTTCAATCTCCATGGAACATCCCCATTTTCTGACCTTATGAGAGAGCGAAGATGTTTGGTGAAGCGGCTAAAGGTGCTTGGGGCTAAGACACTACACTGAGGTACTCCTGCAGAGAAGTGATGGAACGGTGATGATTGACCTTCAACAACCACAACCATTTTCCTTTGGGCCAGCTATGACTACAACCAGCAGACAGCTTTTCACATAATTTTCATTGGCTCTAGTTTTGCTTGGACTCCTTGATCTATACCCAGTCAAATGTTGCCAATTTGTCAAGGGCAATCACCATCTCCTCACTTCTGAAATTCAGTTCTTTGGTCTGTACTGCAATAAGATCAGAAGCCAGGTGGCCCTGGTAGAAATCAAACTGAGCATTATGAATAATTACAATCAGAAGAGAAAACCATGTTTATTTCACTCTTTATACATAGATCTCATTTGGAGTTCTTGTGGCATGGTGGCTAGCAACCCTGCCTCTGAAGCAGAAGCTCAGCGTTTGAGTCCCACCCAAGGAAAGGGGAGTCCATCATATGGTGAAACAGGTTGGATATCAATCCTGCAAATCTTTCTAATGCACATCAATAATGAGAGAGATATTCTTGGTCTGCCAGGAAATAGAATGAAAGTTTTACTCTTTTCCATCAGTAGTCATACCTACAGAACCTTGGACTGCATGTATGCATTTGACAAGTAAGAAAGTATCTAAATTTTTCATTTGTGCAAGCCTAATTTAGCCTATTTTTGATTGTAATTCGTAGTTGGCATAAAGTGAAATCTGCTGTTTAACATTCTATGATTGAGAGCTTTGAGGAGGTTTATTTTCAAGGGGTACTTGAAGAGCAGCCTAATTAAGAAGTGGCTGAAATGGGATCTTCATTAACTCGCTCATATGCCTTTTGTGCTGGGTACATATATAAATAGCCAACTTAGTGTGACTTAACATAGAATTCTGGAGTTGAGCATCTCAAGAAGAATAACTGGACAAAAGGAAGAAATGTTTGCTTGCTTTTGCCTAAACAAAGCTGCTGATTGACAAGTATTTCTAGTCTTTAAAAGTAACAAGTGTTTAATTTGTGTTTAGTAGTCTAATCATCTTTTGTTCTTTATCTTAAAACAAAACTTGTTACATAAAAGATTGATACCAATGCATTAAAAAGGGAAAACACTACATTAAAATGTTAAGTGTGGAAATTCTTCAGCCATAAAGAGCAAGGATGCTAATGTGATGCAATTAATAACTTAAATAAAATACGATTGAGGTGGCAGGTCAGGTGATGTGCTACAACTGCAGCACGTGGGAGCTGCTGGACACAAAGAAGATCCAGATTGGCCAAGTCTCAAAATAAGTGTTTGCAGCTCCAGCTACTTTGGATCCGAGTTGAGGAGCTGCAATCCCACCTGCCAGCATCGCACGCATCAGGGGGAGGAAAATTACCTTGACATATTGCTCCAAGAGACAGTCACAGTCACAACGCTTAGATGAGCCATTTCAAACTTTGTCTGTAACCATGGACAGGAGGGTGTAATTGTAGATGAAGTGCATATGAGAACACAAGAGGCAACTCTCGAGAAGCTTTTGCCACTGTAATATTCCAACAGCTACGAGGTTCTTGCAAACTGAATGGACAAAGGTGGATGATCAGTGAACTGACCACGACACCATGGTTCAGGAAGCCATTTGAGGGAGGAGAGAGACAAATAGGAATGTATTAACTGTAAGGGGCAGCATAATTAGGGTAGATACTGCTCTTTACATATATGAACATAAGTCTCAATGGCGTGTTACCTGCCTGGTGCCATGATTAAGGATATCAGGGGCTGGACAGGAACTTGGAGAGGGAGGAGAAAGGCCTATTTGTCATTGTCTACATTAGTAGAATCAATAGGACGAGAAAGAAGGTTCTGTTGAAATATTCCGCAAAGTCAAGAGCTAAACTAAAAATGTAAAACCTCCAAGGCAGTAATCTCAAGGTTAGTACCTCAGTCACAGGCAAACTGCACACAGGGATACATTGCTGGGAAGGCAAGTAATGAGCATGACACAGTTTACAGAGGGTTCAAGACAGGTTAAAAGGGCAGACAGGGCAAAAACTGAACAGATGCAGTATCATGTGGTGAAGGTTAATCACTCTGACAGGAAGATTACTTAAATAGGGAGAACTGCGGAAAGCTGTAATAGAGATATTTAGGGAACTTTGTGCAACAATCTCAAAGCTAGCATCAAGTTACACAAGTAATAGGGAAGTGTTGATCTTTATTTCATAGGAAATGGAGCATTACAATCTTGCAATAGTCAGACCACATTTGGAACACTGAACCATTTTTGTCCCCTTACCTAAGGAATGATAGCCTGGAATCAGAGACAGTCCAGAGAAGGTTCACTAGGTTGATTCCAGGTATGGAGGGATTTTTTTTAATGTTGAGAGCTGGGTTCAAACTTACTGGAGTTTAGAAGAATAAGAGGTCACTTTATTGAAACATAAGATTATTAGGATGTTTGACAGAGTAGATGAGGAGAAATTGGTCCTGGACTATATGAGAAGGAAAACAATGGGGAAATGTAAGTACGGAGTCGCCCATTTACGACAGTGGTGAGGAGGATTTTTTTCTGAGGATGTTGAATATATGGAATTCTTTACCACAGAATGCTCTAGAGGCTGGGTCATTAAGTATATTCAAGGCTGAGACAGACAGATTTTTTTTAATCAATCAGGAAACCAAGGGGGAAAAGGCTGGAAAGTGAAGTTGATATCAAATCAGCCACTGAATGGCAGAACAGCCTCGATAGTCACCATAGTCCTATAGGATCACAGGGCTGCTCTCTCATTACAGAATGATGACTAGTGCTGATTTAATCTAAAGGTCAGCACATCTCAGGCAAGGGGAGAAGTTGCGAAGGAAAGTCCTTCAAAGGTAGCCTTAGCTGGTACACGAAATGAATCCACACTGTCATCATCACTTTGCATTGCAAACCAGCTGTCCAGCCAACTGTCCGATCCCCTCTGTTCAAAGCACTACATGTATACAAAAAACACTCCTTGAGATTCCCTGACTGAACTGTAACACACTACCATGTCTACCTCATGTACTCTCAACCTCCTGTCCCTTGAACAGGTTAGGGTTCCAGCTGGAAACACATAGCAAATAGTCTCTCAAACAAAACTGATTACTTCCTCCTAGTGAAATACTTTCAAATACTTGTATAAGCCTAGTATGATCAAAATTCTGCTGAGCGTGCAAATTAACTAGCTAGTGTAGCAAGTGATCTCAGTTCTCTCTTCATCTTGTGACTTATTAACCAATTATAAAACCAAGGGCTGACAAGTCACAACACAGGGTGTGTTCTATGATCTGTCTCGTTCAGATTGACTCTGGGAAAGAACATTGATCCAAAATTAATTGAACTGCTATAGAGAGCGCAATGCTGAAAAGTAAAATTTGATGGGTGTAAATATGAACTAGTCCAGTCCTTTACCATCCTTTCAAGCACATTCTTTTCAAATAAATGAATTGTGAAAAAAGGTATTTTCAATGATCTTCTTACATTGCCCCTTATGTCAATTTAAGATGTTCTCACAGAATACTTCCCTAGTTAGTCAACAGCACGACAAATACAAGTATTTATGTAGGTTCTGAAATGTCAACACCCCAAGCTGCTTCACATGGAGGAGTTTAGGAAACTAATTCCAGAGGTCAGCACCTCTGCATTTAAAGGCATGAACAATATGGTGAATTGATCTGAGAATATGTAAGAGGCCAGAATTAAAAGGAGCATAAATTTCTTGGTGGGTCATTGTTCAGTTGATAGCACTCATCTTCAAGACAGAGATTGTAGGCCCATGCCATACTCCTATACCAGAACACACAAACCAAGGGAGATACGCCAGTGCAGTTATTGAGAGATCGTTGTGTTATCAGAGGGGCCATCTTTCAGATGAGACATTAAGCCAATACCCCATTCGCCCTCTCAGGTGGGCTCAATGCATCCCACAGCACTATTCTGAAGAAGTGGACGAGAGAGTTTGCTTAATGTCTGGTCAAATAGTTGTCGATCGACCCACATCACAGAAAACAGGTTATCTGTTCATTATCACAGTGCTACTTGCAGGAAGCTTACTGTGTTCAACTGGATGCCGCGCATCCGAAATGATAACGGCGACTATAGGTTGTTGCTTGAGAAGGGTTTTAGGACGCCCCGGGAGTTGGGAAAGGCGCTATATAAAGACAAAGCCCTTCTCTATAAGGGCAGTGAGATCCTTCCATTCACTTCAATCGCAGCAAGCTGCCATCATTTTGCAGCAGAATCAATGATTCTCAGAACAAAGGGAAAACAAACAAAGCGGGGTTTGCTAACTTTTTGCTGCTTTTGGGAAACAGTGTTGAATTTGACAGCCGCCCTGCACATGACTACAGTCCCCGCCCCCTTGCCCAGGCAGAGTTCACCGGGAATTTTCCAGAATGTCAGAGAGCAAAGCTCAAAGGAGACAGAAGGTTAGGTCCCCATCTCTTACCTGGGCATTCTTGGGGTTCTCAGGGGCCGGTCCGTAACTCATGGTGCTGAAAATCTCACTGACACTCAGCTTCTCGCTCGCAGCGCCCGCAGCCATGCCACCGTCCCACTGGAAGGGAGAGTTGTCTATCACCGGCGACACTTCCGCCAGAAGAAGGTCAACGGCTCTGCACTCCGCCATAGGTCACTTCCGCCAGAAGAAGGTCATAGCGCACCCTGACGAGGGTTCCCCTTTTAATGTTCTAGCCCACGACCGTTTAGTTTCTCTTTTGTTGTTTAAGACGTTTCTTTTTCTTTAAACATTCTTTTCTTGACGTATAGGTCGCGGGGGAAGGTGGAGTGTGGCGGGTCTTTGATTTATTCTGAAGCCCGGGCCTTTTGTTCAGGGCGGCTGTTGGTCGCGGAGTGGTTTGGAAGTTGCGCATAGCAACGAGTCGGAGTATCAACCGGTGGGTCATGGCCTGGGGACGGGCGCGCCTTGGACGGGGGGCGGATTGGGGCCCGGGGATATGGCTGGGGACGTGGGTTCTAGGAAGGGGAGCTGAGTGCTGGGTAGAGAGGTGTGGAGGTAGTTAGGGGATGGGGTTGGAGGGTACTATGGGTGTGGGGAGTTGGGGGTTTGGGTCCTGGGGGGCGGAGTTGGGGGATCGGGTTCGAGCAGATTACTGCAGATGCTGGAATCTGTACTGAAAACAACCACAAATGCTGGAGATCATAGCAGGTCAGGCAGCATCCGTGGAGACAGGGCAAGCTAACGTTTCAAGTCCGGATGATTCCTCATTAGAGATTGAAGTTGGGTGCTTGGGGAAGGAAGACTGTTTGCGGTGGAGTAGGGGTATGTGGGGAGAGAGTGGGTCCTGCCTGCTGGGGGCTGATACAATGATTGGGATGGTTTTATACATGCGTATAGTTAACTGCTCGTAAAAGATATGGTTTAGAAGTCAGACCTCTGACCTTGTCCACCCTGGTCCGACACTTGCACCTCCACATCATAGAAAAGATATAGGTCTAAGTTGAGGTGCAGCCTTCCATTGCAGAGGGTAGTGCGTATATGGAATGAATTGCTAGAGGAAGTGGTGGAGGTGGGTATAATTACAGCATTTAAAAGACAATTTGAATAGGTAGAAGACATGAATAGGAAGGATTTAGAGAGATATAGAGCATACCCAGGAAAGTGAGACTAGATTAGTTTGGGAAATCTGGTCAGCATGGATGAGTCAGACCGAAGGGCCCGTTTCCATGCTGTATGACTCTGAGTATCACAAATGGTTGAATTCAGTAAAAACAAATTTAAAGCCTGCTGGGAAAGTCATCACAAACATCATCAACCAACACCTGTATGATTAATGATAACGCAACTCTTAGAATTGTCTTTGAACCATTCGTGTGGTGATGGATTGCAAGATTTCGCTGGTAGATAAACTAAGATGGGCCATTCTCCTCCCCCTGCCCCAGCTCCCCTATTTCCATGGTCTTAACAAAATGACAGAGATTGAGCAATTTCAGAAAATATGGAAATCATTCCTATAATTTCCAGATGGAAATCATCTAAGCTGCTTAATTAGAGTTGTAATGATGTTTCTCACACAATAATAAAATTGCCAGAGAGATACCTAACATTGTATGCAGCTCAGTGGAATTGGTTAAGGGTTATTTGCTGTCAACAAATCTCCTTTGTCCTTGGACTACGTCATGATTAGTTGTGGAGGATATGCCACTGTTGAGTTTGTGCAGAAGAGGCACTGTTCTTAGGTAGCAATGTTTATGGACTGATGTCAATAAGAACACTTGAGCCTTATTATACACGGATCCGCCTACTCGCCAGGTTGGCCGGCTAATGCGTTTTTCTCCCCTTTGACAGGTCCCAATGGATGATGCAGTACCTCCAGGTCTATCAGGATAGATAGGGGATTATCTGCAGGTTTATGTTTTTCTGCAGGAGTCCTATGCCTAGATTTCCCCCACAGATAATGCAGATTAGGAATACAGTAATATTTGGTAAGGCATAATTGAGAACCTTGGGGAGCTGGTACAGATACATCAGTTTCTTCTGAAAGCCAGAATAGAATTCCTTGTCTGTAGGTAGAGACTGTGTGTGACATAAGGAAAATGGGTGGAGCCAGTATAATGTACACATTAAACTCTTCAGAACTAGTATATTGTTGTACAAGGTAAACTTTAAATACCAAGCATCTGTACTCTGTTAATCCTTGATAGATTGAGAGACCCATTTCTCCAAATGAGAGGATTTGTAAGCAGCTACGAATTTGCACTGGACTTGTGGCACAGTGGGTAGTACCTCTACCTCTGAGCCTGAAGCACTGGGTTGATTCACACCCAGAACTTGGTGATCATAATGCAGCCAAACAAATTGATAATCAATTTGCAAATCTTGCCAACATACCAACAGCAGGTAGTAAGAGCTGAATAGATTCGTGGTCAGCCACGTGATGATGGAAAGAACATTGGAACCTCCAGCATTGTTATCCAGACTGCAACATGCAGGTTTTAAAAAGTGCATGTTACCAGAGCAACATGAATGCCCTTAGTGAACTGAAACACAAATTAATCTGGAATGATTATCTGGATTATACAGGAAAGTAATCTGAATTAATTGTACCTCTTTAGAATATTTACCTGCAGGTTGTACTTGAGCTAAAAAGTTACAGGAGCAGATCAGAAAAGCAACAAAACTTATATTTGTGTAGCTCCTTGAATGTAATACATAGCCCCGTGCTGCTCTACAGGCACATCATAAAACAAAATTTAACACTGAACCCCTTAGGGAGATCTTGGGGAAGGGGACCAAATGTTTTCCTCTTGGGTTTAAAGAGCTTTGTAAGGGAGGATAGTGGTTTAGGGAGGCAATCCCAGAGATTATAACCCAAGAAAGTGAGGCTGCCACTGATGAAGCAGTTAAAGTTGGGGTTATTTGGAATATTAACAATTTTTGCAGCTGGAGGAGATTATAAAGAGGTAGGGAAGGATGAGGCCTTGGGAAAATTGTTGAACTGGCATGAAAGCTTTAAGGTCAAACTTTTGGGATGTAGAATTTAAACTAAAGATCAGCTTTAGCAGCTAGATGTCAGATCAGGGATAATCTATCAGCAACAGTAACCAGGATTCATTTTGTCATAGTTGCACTTCTCTCACAGCCCCATCACATTATTTTTGCACAAACGGAAACAAAAACAACTTCGAAAGAAAAATAATATGGGATGAAAGTTAAACTAAAAGTTCATCAGATTGTTCTATTTTTATGTTTACGTGGTAAATGAATTTTTAATCCTGTCGACCTTGTTGATCACTACTTTGGCCGTTGTTGAATGTGAGCAAGTCCAGGTACGCTGTCAACAAGTTGAATCATGACCACAACAGATGGAAGCCTGCTCTCAACTGAGATGAACAATGAAGATGCACTGTACGAGCAGCTTCTACTGCAGGTAGACTTTCCTAACTCCTCTTGCATCCTCATTGAAACTTGGTGCTCTCAGTACAAATATCAGGACTAGTGCTGCCTGTGGTACATATCATCCTGTTCTCGGGGTGGTTTGTGAGGTTGTGCTTGGCAATGGATTGGAGCATCGTGTGGATGCTGGCCTGGGCTGGTGGGGGTTTGGGTGTTGGGGTTGGGGAAGTTGGGTGCTGGTGCTGGGGGAAGGGGAATTGGATATGGAGGTGGGAGTTGGGGTGAAATTGGCTGCTGGGTTTTGGGGGGGATTGAATCTGGAGGAGGGAGTTGGGTGTTGGGTTTGGAGGGGGTGTTGGATGCAGAGGAGAGGGTTGGGAGGGAGTTGGGTGCTGGGTTTGGGGTGTTGGTTTCTGGGAATGGGGTTTGGGAGGAGGAGAGGGACTGCCTGCTGGAGTTGTGGAGAGCGATTGTGTCGTGCCTGCTTGCAGGGGGCTTATACAACTATTAGGATGATTATATATATGTGTGCATAGTTAACCGCACAGAAAACATATAGGTTTAAGGTGAGAGGGGAAGATTTGAAAGCGACCTGAAAAGCAACTTTTTCACCTAGAGGGTGTTGCATTTATGGAATGAACTGCCAGAGGAGGTGGTGGAGGCAGGTACAATTACGACGTTTAAGAGACCTTTGGACAGATACATGAATAGGAAAAGTTTAGAGAGATATGGGGCAAATACAGGCAAATGGGACTAGTTTAGTTTGGGAAGCCTGTTCAGCATGGACAAGTTGGACCAAAGGGTCTGTTTCCGTGCTTTATGATTGAGTATTGTGGATTTCTTCTTCCTCCTCAGGCTGCAAAGGAGATGCAGAATCAACTTCCGACAGCACAGGAATCCAAGCAGATCAGACCACAGCCAGGTAGACGCTTTCATCCCTCACTTTCCACCCCCTGTGACATTCCACAAAAGCACCCAGCTGCGCTCTCCCCTTAAATAAAAGCAAAACCCTGTGGACACTGAAAACGTAAAATAAAAAGCTAAGATGCTGGAAAAGCATAGTATCTGGGGAGAAATAAAGAGAGTTGGCATTTCAAGTCAAATATGGCTCCTGTTTTCAGTTCTGTTCCAAAAAAGCATCGTATTTGATTTGAAATGTTAAGTCTGTTTCTCTGTCCACAGGTTCCAGCAGACCTGCTGAGTTTTTCCAGCACTAAGTTTTTATCCTTGCTGTCTGTTTCACACTGGTCCTTCTTTCCTGAAGCCGTTAGCTAATGCTCAATTTGGAATCCATTTTGTGTCTGGGTTGCAAATTTTCAATTCAAGAAGTGAGAGTAAAAATGAAAAGGTGAAAGAAAGCATCATCGAAATGTAATGAAATGTTAATGAGAAGGTGGAGGGGAGGAAAAGGTACTGTACTCTTTACACAGTGTGACTCCTTTTAGCTTACAAGCTGCACTGTGCTCTTTGTAGGCAGAAGTCAAAAGAAATCTAATTATTTTACAGTCTGCCTTGCACTTTGCCCTCTTCTATATCTGCTAATGATCTGGGATGTCCTCTTGTTTCAGTTTCTTTGTGCCATTACTGTATTAGTGAATGATTTAGAGCGCCACCAATGTATGTCCCTGCTGTCTTTTGTTGTGTACTATCTATTATTCATGGTAATAGGATGCGTTTGAGGCAAATAATATCCCAGTAAGATTTTGAAGAAGTTTTTACTTCATCAGCCTTTGGGACGTGAGATTCACTGGCTAAGCCAGCAAATATTAGCAATGTCTAATTGCCCTGGGGAAGATGATGGCGGAATTTGAATTCAGTTGCTATCTATAGTTGAGTCTAATAATGACCATGAAACCATTGCGATTGTAAGAGCAAAGAATCCGGTTCAGTAATGTTCTTTAGGGAAGAAAGTTGCCATCCTTACCTGATCTTGCATACGTGTGACTCCAGACCCACAGCAATGTGGATGATTATTAGCTGCCATCTGGACAATTAGGGATAGGTAATGAATGCTGCCTTAGCAGTGATACCCACATCCACTGAATGAATAAAAAAATTAATCTATGTACACAATTGTGTCCCTGCCATGTCTTTCAGTGAGATGCTATCTGTGCACGTCATCATTGCATTTGCCTCTACTAGTTTTGTCGTTTCTTTTCCCAGAATCAATTATCCATGCTCTGTTACAGTCCCTTTGGTTGAAAAAAAGTAGCATGTGCATTTATATAACACCTTTCTATACTTCGGGCTGTCCCAAAGCACTTTACAGCCAATGAAGTGTAGTTGTAGTGTGGAAATGCAGCAACCAATTTACAGGCAGTAAGTTCCCACAAACAGCAGTCTGGGAATGATTCAGTTGTTCCTATTGAGTTAAATTTGTGAATGGATAAACAAGGGACAAGGCACGGAGGAGATCTCTCTTGATGTTTATCAAAATAATATCTTGGGCCCTTTTGAAGCCACCCAAGAATATAGACAGGGCCTTCATTTAAAACCTCAGCCAAAAGATCGTACCTCTGACAGTGTGGCACAGCTTGGGAGTGCCAGTTAAATTTTCTGTTCAAATCCTTGAAGTGGGACTTGAGCTTACAACCAAGGGATGAAGTTGTGATTGGTTTGCAAGTAAAATTTGATTGGAAGAGGAGTTGCTGCTCTCTCAGCACCAGGGACTCGGGTTCGATTCCACTCTTGGGTGACTGTGTGGAGGTTGCACTTTCTCCTGGTTCTGCATGGGTTTCCTCCAGGTGCTCTGGTTTCCTCCCACAGTCCAAAGATGTGCAGGTTAGGTGAATTGGCTGTGCTAAATTGCCCATCGTGTCCAGGGATGTGCAGGCTAGGTGGATTAGCCAGGGAATGTGCAGGGTTACTGGGATAGGGTAAGGGCGAGTGGGTCTGGGTGAGATGCTCTTTGAAGGTTCAGTGCGGACTTGATGGGCCGAATGGCCTGTTTCCATGCTGTAGGGATTCTATGATTCTAAGTTTCCATGCAGAATGCACTAGTTAGATGACACAATTAACTGCCAAGCTTTGTTCAAATTTAACCCAGGCAGATTCCCCTGAGAAATGAGCCAGTGAATGGCAGTCACGTATTTAATTGAGTAGGAACAGACACAATGTCTGTGCGTGTTCTTTCTGTCTGCAAAGAACTGAACTTTACTGTTTCGTGTCATTATAATGCTAAATTGTTTGCAATCAAAAATCACCTTTTTCACAGGCTTCTGTGTGAAGACAAAGATGAAGACCAACGAGAAGGTTTTCATCAATGTTTGCAAGTCTGATCAAATTCCACCTCCACCAGATCTCTCTGAGGAGGGCTTGGTCTCCCTGCTGGAATCAGATGATCCTTCTGGATACAGGATTCCCATGAGCCTCGGTGAACCACATGCTGAAATTGACAACAGTAAGAAAGGGGTGAATTAAATTCTTCCCTGTCTGCTCGCTGGGGTGGGAGAGGAGTGGTGGATCTTTGTGTTCTGGTGCCTACGGGTTGTGGGGTCACTGGACTAGGCCAAAGTAATCCCAAATTACCCTTGAGGTTGAACATAAGATATAGGAGGAACAACCAACCACAAAGATTGTTGTGTCCTGCACAATCCTATTGGTTAGAATTTTGACCCAGTGGCAGTCAAGAGGCGCAATATAGTTTCAAGTCAGGATGGTGAGTGACTTGGAGTGGAGTTTGCATATGATGGTGCTGGCAGGCATCTGCTGCCCTTGGATTATTATGGATCTGAGAGGTGCCTTGAGGAAGTTTGGTGAGTTGCTACAGTGCATCTTGTAAATGATATGTACTGCTGCTACCTTGTGATTGTTGGCAATGAATGTTCAAGGTAGTGAATGTGATGTCAACCAAATGGGCTGCTTTATTCTGCATAGCGATGTTGGAGCTGGAACCCCTGCTACTCAGCCAGCCAAATAGAAAATATTCCATCACCCACCTGACTTGTGCCTTGTATATAGTAGGCAGCCTTTGCAGATATGGGAGATGAACAGTCCTCTGCAGAATTCCCAACCTCTGACCTGTTCTTGTAGACAGTGTATTTGTATGATTAGTCCAGTTTAATTAGTGGTCAGTGGTAAACCCCAGACTGTAGATAGTGAGGATTTCAGCAATGGTAAAGCTATTGCACATCAAGGGGTTTCGGTTAGATTCTGTCATGTTGGAGATGGCTATTGTATGGCACAAAGTTACTTGCCACTTGTCAGAACAAACCTAAATGTTGTCCAGTATTTTGCATATGGACACAGATTGCTTCAATCTGAGGAGTCCCAATGTAGCTGAGAATTGCGCAGTTATCAGCCAATATCCCCAGACCTTATGAGGAGGGAACATAAAGTCATAGAGATGTACAGCACAGACACAGACCCTTCAGTCTAACTCGGTCTAACATGCCGACCAGATATCCTAAATAAATCTAGTCCCATTTGCCCCATATCCCTATAAACCCTTGCTATTCATATGCAATCCAGATGCCTTTTAAATGTTCTAATTGTACCAGCCTCCTCCACTTTCTCTGGTAGCTGATTCCATACACACACCACCCTCTGTGCGAAAAAGTTGCCCCTTAGGTCCCTTTTAAATCTTCTCCCTCTCACCTTAAACCTATGCCCTCTAGTTTCGGACTCCCCAACCCTGGGGAAAAGATCTTGTCTGTTTACCCTATTCATGCCCCTCATGATTTGATAAACCTCTATAAGGGTCACCTGTCAGCCTCTGATGCTCCAGGGAAAATAGCCCCAGCCTATTCAGCCTCTCCCTATGGCTCAAACCCTCCAGGTCCGGCAACATCCTTGTAAATCTTTACTGAACCCTTTCGAGTTTCACAACATCCTCCCAAAGCAGGGAGATGAGAATTGCATGCAGCATTCCAAAATTGGCCTGACCAATGTCCTGTACCGCCGCAATATGACCTCCCAACTCCTATACTCAATGCACTGACCAGTAAAGGCATGCATACCAAATGCAATCTTCACTACCTTATCTACCTGCAACTCCATTTTCAAGGAATCATGAACCTATGCACCAAGGTCTCTTTGTTCAGCAACACTCCCCAGGCCCTTATCATTAAGTGTATATGTCCTGCCCTGATTTGCGTTTCCAAAATGCAGCACCTCACATTTATCTAAATTAAACTCTTATCTGCTACTCCTTGGCCCATTGGTCCTCCTGATCAAGATTCCGTTGTACTCTAAGGTAACCTTCTTCACTGTCCACTGCACCTCCAGTTTTGTTGTCATCTGCAAATTTACTAACCATACCTTTGTTCACTTCAAACTCATTTATATAAATGATGAAAATCAGTGGACCCGGCGCCGAGCCTTGTGGAACACCATCAGTCACAGGCCTCCAGTCTGAAAAGCAACCCTCCACCACCACCCTGTCTTTCACCTTCGAGCCAATTCTGTATCCAAATAACTAGTTCTCCCTGTATTCCATGTGATCTAACCTTGCTAACCCGTCTACCGTGAGGAACCTTGTCAAACACCTTACTGAGCTCCTTATAGATCACATCTGCCCTCATCTGTCCTCTTCGTTACTTCTTCAAAAAACTTAATGATTGACAAAGTAGCTGAAGATTTTTGGGGTTAGGTTTGTGCTAATCATAGAACGCCTACAATACAGAAGGAGGCCATTCAGCTTGCTGTGTCCTACTGGGTCTCTGCAATAGCAGTCTGAGTGGTTCCGCTTCCCTGCGCTTTCCCTTTACCATCAGAAAATAAAACAATTTTCCTTTTAAAAGCAACAATTGAGTCTGCTTTCAGCAAACATTTGGGCAGTGTGTTCCTGGTTTTAACCACTCGCCACATATAATTGTTTCCTCATGTCACTGACCTGGTTCTTAGGTCTTTGACCAATGAGAGTAGTTTATCTTTTTGTTCTGTGCAGACCCCTCATACATTTACAGTAAATGAGGACAGGACTGAGCTTGGGTAGTGATGCCTGGCTTTCTTGCACAAACTCACATGAAGTGCTCTTGAGCAAGGTACTGGAAGGAAGCTCTTGAGTGAGAAAGGGAATTGTGAGGGGAAACAGTGCTGCATTGTGAATGACTAGAATTGTCTTGTTTTCACAGGTGGTAATGGATGCACTGCATATGACATAGTCATCAATTCAAAATTTTACAACAAAATTCAGGTACAACCATATGGTTTATATTGATAGATCTCACCATGTAATTGGGGTCTGGTGCCATGGTTATAACACTAAGCCAGGAAATGTGATATCTGCACTTTGTCGCATCTGACAAATCAGTCATTGTCACATCTGGATGCTGTAGATAATAAGAGAAAGGCTGAACTGCCAATTCCTGCTCCTATCAGGCTGGCAGTGGAATTCAACAAGTTCATGGCTGTTCTGGCTGTGCGCTCAACTCCAATTTTCCAGTTACTCCATACACACCTCAATGCTGGATCCCCTAGACTATCTCGAAACTATTTAATTCCACCTTGATATTTCATCAGACTTGACTTTGAAATAAATAGCTATGAGGCAGAATGGATTATCCTTGAAATCTGACTAGCACATTAATGTCCTTTAGGGAAGGGAAATTGCCACCCAGTTTTGTGAATCCATTCCAGACTGCCAGCTGACTTGTAATGCCATCTGAAGTTTCCCAGCATACTTACCTCAGGGTCACCCAGATTGAACAGTAAATGTCCTTTGTTCCCTAGACTCTGATACATCTTTCACAAGTGCTTTTATTTTAAGGGGATACAGTGAACAATATCACCTACATTTATGTTGCCCCTTTTTCATGTGGTAAAATGTCCCAGGGCACTTTGCAGGAATGCTTAGAGTGATTAATTGAAATTGACAATTAGAAAGAGGCAATTTCTAGAGGAACCTGTTATCTTGGAGTTTTATTGGCTAGGGCTGGAACAGGGTAGAGATAGGTAGGGCCATAGAAGTAAAGTTAAACTTTAAAAGTGAGGGATTCATTCAGGAGGCACTGTAGTTTAGTGAACGTTGATGATTAGTGAACGTTGATGATAAGTGAACAGGATACGGTATAGGTTTACCCCGAGCATCAGAGTTGGGAGCTACAGAGCAAAAATTGAAATGAGACACATGAGGTGATATAATGTTAGGTGACCAAAAGCTTGATCAAAGAGGTATGTTTCAGGGAGAACCTTGATGGAGCAAAATGAGTTGGAGAGTTACGGAGGGAATTCCTGGTCTCTGGAGCTGAAGGCAGAGCAACCAAGAGTAAAGTACAATATATATGGTGATAAGGTGATGCATGGGTGGGCGTGTATAACTCCACGTCTCTCTGCATAACAGTTTTCAGAGCACAATATACTTGGGCAATATGATAAAAGCATAAAGAATAACACGGTTATATTTTGCTGACACAAATTTACAAGGATCCTCTAAATGCAAATTGGCATTAAACTTAGATTAACAACACCAAATGTGTGACAGTTTAATACTTGTGGACATGGTAGACAGAACGTCTTGAATACAAATGTCCCTTGGAAGCAGAACAATACGTTAGATCTGTTGTGGTATAACTGTAACAATGCCAGAGGGATTCACCAATAATTTTAGGATAAGTGTAAAATGGCAGTGAGATATTACGTGAGTATTGATGGTCTTTGCAGTCAGTTTCCAGCCTGTTTCACCAGTGCAGTGACCTCTGCTCCAGACTCTGTCTCAAACTCTACTGTCTCTAGTTGCTTACTCTCCTCCTGCCGTATGATGTGTTCCTTTAGGAAGTGTTTGATTTAAGGGTTTTGGATTGTCAAAAGTCAAAAACCAAAGAAACTTGCATTTACATGGTGCCTTTCACAATGCCCACGTCCCAATGTGCTTTAAATCTAGTGAGTTCTGTTGATGGTCTTCAGTTGTAATTCATTTGCTATTGATTCCAGATCCGATGTTAAATCCAAGTCTTACTTAATGCCCCTAGTGGGGTAGATAAGCAATGGCCACAATTTTGAAGAAGAAGAACAGTGAAGTTCTTCCTTATGTCCTGACTAATATTTGTCCTTGTAAAAGCAGGTCATGTCCATGTGAAAGTATAATCCTGTGGATGCTGGAAATTCGAAATTAAAAACAAAAACTCAACAGGCCTGACAGCATGTATGGAGAAAGCAGCAGAGTTAATGTTTCAAAAGTCTGTTTTTCTCTCCTTTAATGCTCATCACCAAGTTGCTATTTATGGAATCTTGCTGTGTATACATTTGACTACCACTCTACCTATATGGCAACAGTGACTACATTTCAAAAGTACTTCATTGGCTAGAATGGACTTCGGGACGTCCCAGAGGGAATGAAAGATGCCACATGAATGAAAGTTGTCATTTCCTTTGAAACGGTCAAGTAATTTCATTCCAGATTTTTTTTCTTTTCTTTTGATGCAGAACAACAAACTCTTCATGGAATTCTTCCTGACTATCGGCTTTGAGGGGCTGGAAAACAAATACAATTTGGAACTTTCGCGAGGTAACTACCTAGATATTGTTATGAAGCAGAGGTCAACCCACACCTCTGATAACTGAAACCAAAGCACCTAAAGAAGCTTGCCTCACCTCATAATCTGTTAAAGGAAGTGTAACAAGTGGTATAACCTGCCTCTCACCTCCCAATCTGTTATAAAGGGGAGGTTAAATGAAATGAACTCCTAACAGTCACTCTATAATCAACAAGTAACAATTTATTTATCTAACTCTAACAGTGAACAAATTAACAGAACTATTAACAAACTGAACAACTCCCCCTTAACTACTTACTATTCCCAAATAAAACAAAACTCTGATGACATGCTGTTCCAAAAGATACAATACCCCCATATATAAACCAAATTAATAAAAAAAAACTTAAAACTTTGTCTCTCGAAATTACAGCCAGGCTGAGTCTTCCAGAATGCTCTGTGCCCTCTCCGCCTTTCTCTATCGAATTCTTGTCAGGAATATTAGCTATATCTTTATTTAGATGATGGTTTTCTGTGAGCCAGTTGATTTTCTGTTTAGAACTGGTTGTTAACTCTAGTAGATGGCAGTTGTTCTGACACCGATTTTCTTTTATACCCTTGATGACCTATTAATTTCTTACAAAAAGTTTGGACCTAGGTTGTCAAAACTATCAGATTTCTAAATTTAATTGGTTTTTAGCCTCTAAGTGCCTGGTTTAAATTAATTGGCTGATTTTTCAAACTGGTTGCCTTAATAACAAAACAAACTATTGCCTAGGTTGTTAACCCCACAGCCATCTGATAGTGTTTTAATTTCAGAAACTCTCTGTGCACATGCACATTTTTTTGAATCTCCAAGCCTGGAAAAACACACCATCTTTTAAAGGGACCACGCACCCTTTCCCCTATCATTTTACAAACATCAAATTCTAACATCCTGTCTTTCAATCCACGAATACTCTACCCAACTTTGCAACAATATTTATTCAGCTTGATGCTTGCAAACTTAGATCCCACCTCCTTCTAACCTTTGAGCAGAACTTTCAAGCACTGAGCTACAGTTGATGATGCTTGGATCCAACAATGACAAGATACTTGGAGCAGAATGAGCAACGCCCCATGTGACCAACCCAACATTCACTCAAACTTTTCTTCAGTGTTGAGTCTCCTTCAAGGAGATCTGCCTGGGTTGTTACAATCTGGTGCTGGTAGGTGACAGAGAGGGGCAGCTGCCCAATGCTTTTTCCAACTACTGCTTTTGAAAGGGTGAAAGAGGTTGGTTTCAAACATTTACCAGTCACTAGATGGGAGATTGCCAATGCTGTATCTCAGTAAACTGCCTTGTCTTATCTGGCTGAGGAAAGAAATGAAAGATTTGCATTTATATAGCTCCTTTCACAACCACTGAAGTATTTGCAGAAAGAATCAAACCGTTTAACGTTGCTGAAATAAAAGCAAAATGCTGTGGATGGTGGAAATCAAACAAATACAAAAAATGCTGGAGAAACTCAGCAGGTCTGGCAACATCTGTGGAGATAGAGTTCACTTTTCAAGTCTGGTATGGTTCCTCTTTTTTTTCCTTCTGCAGAAGCAGAGTCATACGAGGCTCTCAATGTTAACCCTGTTTCTCTCTCTACAGATGCTGCCAGATCTCCCGAGTTTCTTCAGCATTCTGTGTTTTGTTTATTTTGCTTAATTGAAGGGAGATGATAGCCTAATGGTATTATTGCTGCACTGTTGAACCAAAGACTCAGGTAACAATCTGGGGACCCAGGACTGAATTCTGCCACAGCGGATGGTGGAATTTGAATTGAATGAAAATCTGGAATTAAGTATCTAGCAAGGAATCCATTGTTGATCGTTGGAAAAACCCAACAGGTTTACTAATGTCCCTTAGGGAAGGAAACTGCCATCACTATCTGGCCTACAGGTGAATCCAGACCCAGAGCAATGTGGTTAACTGTTATTGGTAATAAATGCTGGTCTAGCTAGTGACACCCTCATCCTGTGAATGGGATTTTTAAAAAATCTGTACTTGTGTTTAGGCCCTCCCACCCTGCCTCATCACAGCCTACCTTGCATATGTAACAAGTAGGAACTTGGCTGATTTTTGGCATCATTCTGAAGATACCCATCAGATGATGGGCATGACCAGAATTAGCACAGTAGGGCTGAAAGGTATAGAATGAACATGGAGAGATCTTGCACGTACATAGTATCTTTCAGAACCAGAGGACATATCAATGTGCTTGATAGCCAATAAAGTACCTCTGAAATGTAGTCACTGTTGTAATATGGCAAACACACTAGCCAATGTGTGAACAGCAGGCTCCCTCGACCAGCAATGATAGTTGCGGTGCTGATTGAGGACTAAATATTTGGCAGAACAACAGGGTTTCTCCTCTACTTTTTTTTTTCTGAGAACGCGGGTTCCATAGACTAATAATCCTTAGGGGGGGAAAAAATAAGTCATCCATCATAAAAGCGAAGCCCCTTTGTTCTTAAACTGTCTCCACATTCTAGCCCTCCTACAAGGGGAAAAACCTCAGAATTCACCCCGCCACGTCTCCTCAAGAACTTGAATGCTGCAATGAGAGCATCTCTCATCCTTCTAAACACAAATGGGCAAAGGACTAACCTGTTCAAACTTTCTCCATTTTGGGATCTTCACAACGCGCAACTAATGTTACCTAATGGATTTAGGTATGCGAGCAGAATTAGTAAAGGAAGAGAACCAGCGCTCCACATTTGTTGAACATATTACCATTTTTACTAGGAAATTGTTGAACAGATGCTGATGGGCTTGCCACCAATGAAGTAGGTCATGGAGGACCCCAGGGCTAAACCTGAACAGCTTAATGCAGGTCTGATGCGATCTCCTGTAAAGTATAGAGACTCTCATTGTAGCTGAACCTTGATTTGAGAGACAAAAGTACAGTGTTCACAGCTGAAATTGTTAACTATTTTGTTACCAGAGTGGCGGATGCTGAAGAACAGGAAATTTCTGGGATCTATAACAGAACAAAACATCAGAACAAAATCAAAACCTGTTATCCAGGAACTGGAATCCAGGTAAAGTGACTGAAGAACTTGCCTTTATGTAGCACCTTGTGCAACATTGCAATGTATTTCTGCCTTCCATACTTGATGGCATGGTGTAATGTTGCTTGATGAAGGAGTTGCCTTTTGAGGAAAGGCTGAGCAAGTTGGGCCTATCCCTTGAACACAGTAAGGACTGCAGATGCTAGAAGCTAGAGTCTTTAAATGTGGAGCTGGAAAAGCACAGCCAGTCAGACAGCATCCAAGGAGCATGGAAGTCAGTGTTTTGGGCCGAAACCCTTTGTCAGGACTATCAGCCCGAAATGTTGACGTTCCTGCCCCTGCCACTCTTCAGGGGATATGATGAATGTTTACTGTGTTAGATGGGGTCTGAATGGAGGCAGGCTGCGTTGTCTTGTTATACAGCAAACAGACAGCTGAAGGATCTCTTTGCTTCTCTGAAATAATGATTACAACTAGTGGAAGCTGTAAGGTCAAATCCTGACCGTGTTATCGTAACTTTATTTTGGCAGCACTTCATCTCCGGGAACCTGCAATAAACCCCTTCTATCAGAAATAGAAAGGTAAGATTTCTTCTTCTGAATCCAGATTGGAGAAAGTGATTAATGGGGGGAGTTGAGGGTCACAGGAAAGTGGAAGTGAGGAATGTCAGAGCAATCAGGATCCTACTGAATGGCAGAGCAGGTTCAAGGGTTGAATGGCCTACTCCAGTTTTTTTTTTCTAATTCACTATGGGACATGCATGTCACTGGCTGGGCCCAGCATTTATTGCCTGTCCCCAGTTTTTCTTGATTAGGTGTGGTGAGCTGCCTTCTTGAACCACTGCAGCTTGCATGCTGTAGGTTGACTCACAATGCTCTTGAGGAGGGAATTCCAGGATTTTGACCCAACGACCGTGAAGTCAGGATAGTGAGTGGCTTGGAGGGGAACTTGCAGGTGGTAGTGTTCTCATGTATCTGCTGCTCTTCACCTTCAAATGGAAATGGTCATAGACTATTATAACCCTGTAGAGTGTGCAATTCAGCCCATCGAGTCCACACCGACCCACTGAATAGCATCCCACCCAGACCCACCCCTCCCACCCCATCCCTGTAACCCCATATTTCCCATGGCTAATCCACCGAGCCTGAACATCCCTGGTCGCTATGAGCAATTTAGCACGGCCAGTCCTCCTAAACTGCACATCTTTGGGCTGTGGGAGGAAACCAGAGCACCCAGAGAAAACCCCCGCAGATATGAGGAGTATGCACAAACTCCGCACAATCGCCCAAGGGTGGAATTGAATGCAGGTCCTTGATGGTGTGAGGCAGCAGTGCTAACCACTGAGCCACTGTGCCGTCCACTGTGTTTGGTCATGGTCATGGTCATGGTCGTGGGCTTGGAAGATGCTGTGTAGGGATCTTTGGTAAATTTCTACAGTGCACATTGCAACTACTGAGTGTTAGTGAAGGAAGTGGATGTGATGCCGGTGAAGCAGGCTGCTTTGTCCTGGAAGGTGTCAAGCTTCTTGAGTGTTATTGGAGCTGCACTCATCCAGGCAAGTGGGGAGTATTTCTTCACACTCCTGACTTGTGCTTTATTGATGTTGGACAGGCTTCAGGGAGTCAGGAGGTGAGTTACTCGCTGCAGTATTCCTAGCCTCTGACTGGCTTTTTGTAGCCACTGTATTTATATGGCAAGTCCAGTTGAGTTTCTTGTCAATGGTAACCCCAGGAATGTTACTAGTGAGGGTTTTTAGTCTTGGTAACACCATTTGAATGTCAAAGCTCGAAGGTTAGATCTGTCTCTCATTGGAAATGGTCATTACTTGTTCCTATTTCTTACGGTGTTATAGTTTTACCAGAAGACTTCTAACTAATAGAATACCGATTGCTGATTACCAGAGCCACAATCCACATTCGTGTGAAGGATGGGGCCCGCTGGTTTAATTATTCAGCAGGAGCAATAGGACCGTGTACCAAGGGTGTGGATTGTTACAGAGGTATTAATGTCATCTTTTTCTTTGCCCTGGTAGTACCTGTGTGGAGCCAGAATATACAATCGTGGCTGAGCCTGCAGATGAGCACCCCAGCTTCCTGGTAGCAGAAATCTCCTTACCAAAAGTGGTTAGTATTTTAATTCCCAAACAGCTGCATTTCGGAGAGCAGGGTGGATGGCTCTTCAGAGCCAGGATTCAGGATTTGAGGATAAAGTTACAAAAAGTGCAGACCAATTCCTAACCCGTGACCGACAGTGGCACCGAAGTGTTCAGTTAATGAAGCAGAGATGCTTGTGATTGATTGTTGTTCATGTTTCCTTGTCTTTTACTTTGCCTCATTTCTAGGTCAAGAAGCTATAGGTTCCAGGGCCAGAATCGATCTCAGCTCTAATTCCAGTGGAGCACTCAGGGAGTGCTGTTTTGTCAGAGGAGTCATGTTTCAAATTGAATTAGTCTTATCGGTCAACCTGTCTGAGTTCAGTCAGGTTCTTTTGTGATTCCCATTCACCCTACTAATAAGGGCGAATGTGAATGTCTGGTGGGGACAGCATTGGCTTGTTTCTGGTAGTCTGCACTGTCAGATGTTTGCCTAAACTAATGGCTTAGGCTTCCATGTGATAAAAGATCCTCTAAAAGATTGAAGGTAATTGCATATGAAACCATTGTACAGTATAAGAAGCTTATGTCTTCAGGCAGAAACTGAGCCTATGCCAACCCAATTTTTTATTCGTGTCTGGGATGTGGGCATCACTGGCTGGTCAGCATTTATTGCCCATCCCTAACTGACCTTGGGAAGGTGGTGGTGAGCTGACTTCTTGAACTGCTGCAGACCATGTTCTGTCAGCTATCCCACAAAACATTAGGGAGGGAATTCCAGGATTTTGACCCAGTGACACTGAAGGACTGTCAATATATTTCCAAGTCAGGTTGGTGAGTGGCTTGGAGAGGAACTTGTAGGTGCTCGTGTTCCCACGTATTTGTTGCCCTTGTCTCGCTAGATAGAAGCAGTCATGGGTTTGAAAAATGCTATCTAAGGATCTTCAGTGAATTTCTGCAATGAATCCTGTGGATAGTTTATCTGTAAGCTCATTTGTCACATTGGGTAGTGACTCTGTCCGAACCAGAAGCTCCAGGTTCAAGTCCCATACCAGGACTTGATGGGTGAAGGCACGTGCGTTCATAGTGCCAAACAGGGAGAGTGTCAACTTGTTCATTCTTCCAATACATGCAAGCAGCAGGTGGGTAAGAGCAGGAGAGATTCCAGGTGAGCTGTGTGAGTGAAAGAGTTTGTAACCTCCACCATCACTATCCATAGCTCCACACTCTAACTTCTTGGGTAACCTGTTGGCTGGAAGGCTGGTGTGGATCAGATCAGTGCCAACAGCACAGGGTTTGATCCCTTTTCCAGATGGGGTAGATTCAGCACCTGCCTCTGTGCCTGGCCAGTGGTGAACATTACTGTGGGTATTCTGGCAGAGAATGGAAGAGAAGGCAGGTATTGTGAGCAGGCTTTCCTAATTATGCAGGAGTCAGATACTAACTGTTTCCAGTGACCGCAGGGAAGGTAACCAAAGGGCCCAGATTTCAGATGCTTGGCAAAAGAAGCAAAGTGGAGGCGAGTACAAAACTTTAATCCATAACATTTGTTTGGATTTGTAATGAGCTGCCTGTTAGGATGATGGAAACAGACTCAATAGCAATTTTTCAAAGGGTATTGAATGAATGATTCGGTGGGGTGGGGGTGGTGGTGGGGGACACAAATATTGTCAAATGTGGGAAAAGAGCTGGGAACTTACACTATCAGGATGACTGTTCTGATAGAGCAGGCGCAGACTCTCTGGGCTGAGCAGCTTCCTATTACGTTGCTCGATTCTTGGGTTACAGGTTCTCTTTCTTGTGCACCACAGGATTCAGCAGGATCATTACTACTCGACCTTGGAGAAGACCGGATTGTGTTGTGGGCACGGCCAGATCTTTATCACTTAGATATTTACATCCCGTACAACATTGTTCAGGAGAAAAGTGGCTCTCAATTCAACAGGAAAACCAGGGTAAGGAGAAGTTAAACAATCAGGCAGTTCACAGCTCCTCCTAATACTCATAGTCTGTGACCAGCACACAAACCTTAGAGCTGTTTTTAACCACACAAGACCACATTGGCAGTAAGCACACAGAACTGAGTATGGGAGGAATTGTTTGCTTTTACCTTTTAATTTTTGTTGTACATGTACAGATGCTAGCGCAAAGATAACTCTACCATGTAATATCGAATCAAATGGATTTGCCCCTCTTTATCCAGTGCTGTATGTGTACAAGTGCAGGTGAGCTGTGAGTTTCTACACAGGAGTCGTTTATTTGTCAGTGTGGAAAGAGTTTTGTACGAAAGGTGACAATAAGTGGAGGGTGCAGGAGAAGGCTTCCATCAGAAGGAAGCGAGTGTATTTTCCGAAATGTGTGAGAAATCGTTCAGTTTTCGCTTTGTTCCCTGCCAGGTTCTGACCATAACGATGCCAGTGCAGCCAGCCTAAGACCAGAATTGCTTCCAGGACGAACAATGTTCGCACAAACTGAATAACCGGAACTTCTGCTCGTTCCCAGCATGGCAGGTTGTCAGCACCACATTTATGATGTCATTTTACATGACAGCAACGTGATGTTCACTGACTTTGCTTTTCTCTTTCTCATTCATTTGAATTGCGCTTAAAAATAATTGAAGTTCAATACCGTCTGGTATCTTGCCCAAGGATTTTTTTTTGATATTTGCTTACTGGATGAGCATGTCACTAGCAAGGGCAGCATTTATTCATAACCCATTGTCCCTTAGCTGGTGGTGAGCCACGGTTCCAAGTTCAACTGAGCAGCTTACCCAACCTGTTCAGAGGGCAGTTAAGAGATTAGCCACAGTGCTGTGGATCTGGAGTCACAAGAGGCCATAATAAGGAAGGATGGCACATTCCCTCCCTTAAGCGAACAGGCAGGTTTTTGCAACAATCCATTAGTTTTGTAGTCTCCATCACTTCCACTAGCTTTTTATTTTCAGGTCCCTATTTAATTGAATCTGCCCTAGCTGACATGGCAGGTTTTGATTTCTGGAATCGTCGAAATTTCTTTTTAATGTTCATTCAGGGGTTGGTTAATATTTATGTCTGCCCCCCTGAGAAGGTGATGGTGAGCCACTGCAGTCCCTTTAGTGTAGGTAAACCCATAACATTTGGTTATATAATCTAGATGGTACTGTATCTCTAAGTCCGCACTCTTCATGTGTATAAACGTTTACGGTGAAAGCTGTCAGGCTATTTGACATTGGTGTCCATCACAGCAACACCAATTGCTATCCTCCTCCCACGTTCTGGCATTCTTTGCAGCAACATACATTGGATAATGATTACAAGTGTGAATGCCAGCTTATTGCAAACAGCCAATAGGAGGAAGAAAGGGTTTGCGAAGCATGCTGTGCCAGATTCATAGAGTCATAGAATCAGACAGCACAGAAACAGACCCTTCGGTCCAACCAGTCCATGCCCCTGCTGAAAGTCCCATTAAAACCTGAGCTCTTCAGACACTAACTGACCTAATGTGTCTTATGTTTTATGTTATTATTTTGGATTTAAAAGCATTCATATTTTTCATCTGGTTACTAATGCCCATTTCACAGCTTGGAAATAACATTTTCAGGGCCTGCTCTAAAATATAGACAGTTCATGAAATCGTTCCAACACAGGAGTGAAAATGAGAGCTAATTTTCTTAAGGCCTGTTCAAGTGCAGCAAGTTATTGGTTGCCCATCTTTCTACTAGGTTTTACTTCTGCCCTGCATTTACTTGATGTAAATAAAATCGTTTTCTAAATGGTGTATTGTGTTGATAAGAATGCGGTCTTGCTTATCTGAGCACTTTTCTCTGTTGCAACAGCTTTCATTCCTTTTGAGCTTTTGTCATTTGAAAACTGATTGCATGCGCAGTTGCAATGTTTTAGTGCAAAGGGCCCCCCTTTGGTAACTGAGTGAGATACATAGGAAGAATGGAGGTGGAGTACCATAATGCTTGTGCTTGTGAGTCGGATGACAGAAGAACAAATTGAACAACTGAAATCAAACCAGACCTCCTATGCTTAAGACTGTCTCATACTTCCCCAACATCTAGTTTTGAGGGAGCGATTCAGATATTTGGGGTGGACTAGGTCTGGAATGCAGTACCCAAGACCAGTGGAGGCAGCTCAGTCAAGGTGATCCCGAGTTACAGGGTGAAGGTGGGAGAACAGCACAAAGTATAGAGAACCAATGCAGACACAAGGGTCTGAATGGCAGCCACTTGTGCTGTAACAGTTATGATTAAATAGCACAAGCTATCAGGTTCATAGAAAGCAGTGCTACCCAATACCCCACCCAACACACATTCATTGTCCTGACTTCTACCCCTTCAGAGCAATGCCAATTCAGGCATGTGAAGACGTTTGTAAATATGGTTTGTTGCTCAAAGTTACTTCATAACCTGACACGAGAGGGGTGGGAGAAAAAAGGGCCAAATTTCCCTCGAGTGAATAAGGATCACTCTGTCTCATTTAAAGTTTCCACCTCTTGCCTTAAACCTGTGCCTCCTAGTATTTGACATTTCCACCCCAGGAAAAAGTCTTCGACTATCCACCCTATCTATACCTCTCATAATATATAATATTACTACCAGGTCAATCCTCAGCTTCTAATGCTCTAGAAAAAAAAAATCCAAGTTTATCCAGCTTCTCCTTATAGCTATTAGAGCAGCACAGTGGCTCAGTGGTTAGCACTGCTACCTCACAGTGTCAGGGACCTGGGTTTGATTCCAGCCTTGGGTGACTGCCAAAGCTCCACACAGACATTCTCCCTATGTCTGCGCGGGTTTCTCCCAAGTACTCTGGTTTCCCCTCTCAGTCCAAAAATGGTTAGGTGAATTGGCCATGGTAAGTTGCCCTGTAGTGTTCAGGGTGCAGGCTAGCTAGAGTAACCATGGGAAATGCAAGGTTACAGGGATTGGGTGGACTGCTAGTTGGAGGGTTATTGTGGACTCGGTGGGCTGAATGGCCTGCTTTCACACTGCAGGGACTCTACGAAGGATAGACCTTGCTGGGAACAGTTTTTCTTGGCAGTCAATTGAAGTACATTTGTAGTCCTTTTGCCTGAACCAGTTTGCGCACAGCAAATCTTGGCAGTAATTGTTGAAGGGAGAAGATTGGCTCAGGCAGCAGCATTCCCTGTGTTATAGGATTATTTTTATATTTTCACCCCCACAAGTCAGTCAGGCCTTGATTTAACATGTCCAAATCAAATTTGCATTTTGTTAGGCAAAGTTGTTAAGGAATATGGGCTAAAGGTAGGTAAATGGAGTTATGCCACAGATCAACCATAATCTTAATGAATGGAACAGGCTCAAGGGGGATGGTCTGCTCCTATGTTCTCTAAAATGGCCCACGCTCTTTATTGTAGTGAAATGTCAACCTACTTTAGGCTTGAAACCATAATCTTTAATTAAAAAGGCAATCAAAGTTTGACACATATGCATTTAAACTGCAGCACACAGTATTTGTGGACAAGTTGATTCAACATTAAGAACTAAAGTACAGCTTTTTGCACTTTTTATTTGCATTCCTTTCAGGTACAAAGAGAAATAAAAAACTAGAAGCAACACTTGATATAAAGACCATCACAGGCATTTTGTCTGCAAACTTGTATCAATACTCTGACATGGGGCATGTTGTAGCATAACTTAATATACTATGGTTCAGTCACAATTTGGTCTGAGTTTTAGCCTGAAGGCATGTTCAGTGTGGGGTGAGGAAGGGCTGCAATAATATTATGATGTCAGGGAAACCTGAAAAAAAAATTTAACTGTGGGACCACCTCACCTGCCTCTGACCTGTCTTAACGTCGCACTTTCTGGCTTATCATTTCTTCTCACTGCTGTGACATGCCTCAGTGTTTTCCTACATTAAAGATATTATACAAATATACTTCTTTCATCATGTATTCTATTGAGAGCTGACTTTCCATTTGCCATAGAAGGCTAAACAATTGCAGATCCTCGGCAAAGTTTTTATTTATTCATTCACAGGATCTGGGTGTTACTGACACAGGGAGCGTTTATTTCCCATCCTGAATTACCCTGTAGAAGGTGGTGCTAAACTGCCACAGTCCATGCAGTGTAGCATCGCCCACGGTGCTGTTCAGGAGCACCAGTTTCCATGATTTTAACCCACTGACACTGAAGGAACCGTGATATTTCCAAGTCAGATCGACCCAATTCTGCTCCTATATCTTACCATTCAGCCCATCAAGCCTGCTTCACCTGATTGTGGCTGATATGTTTCTCAACCCCATTTTCCTGCCATCTCTCCATAACCCTTGAACCCCTTACAATCAAGAACCTATCTATCTCTATCTTGATTTTACTCAATGACTTGACCTCCACAGCCCTCTACTGCAATGTGATGTACAGATTCACCACCTTCTGGATGAAGAAAGTCCCCATTCTCAGTTCTAAAGGGTTGGCCCTTCACTCTGAGGCTGTGCCTTCAGGTGGAAACATCCCCACGTCCACTCCATCCAGGCTTCTCAGTATTCTTTCAATGTAACTTTCAATGAGGTCCCTCCCTCATCTTTCTACACTCCATACAGTACAGACCCAGAGTCCTCAACTGCTCCTCTTATGACCAGTCCTTCATCCCTGTGATCATTAAACATATTGTGGACCCCATCCAACACCAGCACATCCTTCCCTAGATGCAGGGCCCAAAACTGCTCATAATGTTCCAAATGCGGTCTTACCAAAGCCTTATATTAGCCTGTGCAGTACACGTCTGCTCTTGTATTCATTACATCAATGTAATTTTCATCACATTATTTTTGGCATTTATACTGTCCCTGACTTCCCTTGTTAGCTATGGTTGCTTCATTCTCCCCTTAACATGTTTCTTCTTCCTTGGGTTGAATATCTGTTGGGCCTCCCAAATTACCCCCAGAAACCCCAGCCATTGCTGCTCCTCTGCCTTCCCTGCTAGACTCCCCTTCCAATCAACTCTGGTCAGCTCCTCCCTCATATATTTATAGTTACCTTTACTCAATTGTAGTACCATTACATCTGATTCAAGCTTCTCCCTCAAACTGCAGGGTGAATTCTATTTTATTGTGGTCACTGCACCTAAAGGGTTCCTTCACCTTAAGCTCCCTAATCAAGTCTGCCTCATTTCACACCACCAAATCCAAAATTGCCAGTTCCGTACTAGGCTCTACCACAAGCTGCTCCAAAAATCCATCTCGGATATCCCACAAATTCCCTTTCTTGGCATCTGCTACCAAACTGATTTTCCCAGTCCAGCTGCATATTGAGGTCTCTGATGATTATTTTACTAGTGCCTTTCTTACATATCGTCAGACATTTAGTTCCCACTCCTGATCCTCTTACCGTCATGTCTCTGTTATCCCCACCACGTTGAATCTGCCAATTTCAATCTGTGCCACAAGCTCATTTACCTTGTTTCATTTACTGTGTGCTTTTAAGTACAAAAATGTTTTAAAAAGATTTAAGTGTCATTTGATGCACAACTAACTGATAGAAAGACACCAACTATGTTCAAAAGTTGAAAATGTTGGGAAACACTTGGTAGATCAGGCATAGCCAACGCATCAATTTGACAACCTTTTATCAAATCAGTACATGTTTGAGATGAATGGCTGTAAAACAAGTTGGAACTGGAAAACAGAATGAGTAAAAGAAAATGTCTGTGATAGGGTAGGGATGATTTAAAGGTCAAAAGAAATGAAGAAGCTAGAGTCTGATAATCTAGTGGAGCAGTTAGAACTAACAAACAAGCTCAGATGGACAAGAATCTGTGCCAAAGTTCTAGAACCAGGCTGTTAAACCTTAACTTTGCCACCACTTGGTCAGAACATCATGCTGTGTCTCACCCAAAGAGAGGTACCAGAAGGACAGCGTTGAGCTTCAGCTACTTACAATCTATGTCAGTGACCTGGATGTACAGACGGAGTGAAATGGAGCAAAATTCGCTGAGAGTGCGAAGCTAAATGGAATATGAGCTATGATGAGGATGCAAAAAAAGTGACAAAGGTTAAATAAGGCAGGAAAGTAGCATTTGGAATGTAATGTGAAGTTATCAATACAAAAATAGAAAAGCGCATGATCTTTTCGATGGCAAGAGACTGGGGAATACTGGTATGTGGACGGATGTGGGTGTCAGTATACACTAATCTCAGAAATAGAATGTGTAGATGCAGCTAGGAATTAGAAAAACAACTAGCGTGTTGGTTTTTATTATGAAGAGACTGAAGAATAAGAACAAGTTAGCCTTACTGGGCCTTGGTGAGACCACATCAGGAGGACTACACATAGATTTGATCTCCTTGTGTAAGGTTTATCTTAAAAGAGTGCAATTGTGGATCATATAATTGATTCTTTGGATGAGAGGCCAATAAACACCAGCCTTGCCATAGTCTGAGAATGGTTTTAACATTGTGGCATAAAGGAGAAATGCTTCTATGCACCTTAGATAAAAATACAAGAGGAATTAACAATCAATAAGTTAGATAGAGGAGAGGTTTGAGTAAGAGGACAAGTTGTGAAGCCAAACCAATGTCCAGATTTCTAAAGCCAGCAATTGGACAAAATCATCAATCTGTCCGAGTGATGTAACAAAACATCATCACTGTGCCAGAAATTCAAATGTTGCCTCTATGCTGAGTGTCTTGAGTGAAAACCTAGGGCATAATGACTACCAAACACAGCTTCTTCAGTCAATCAGGCAGAGGTTACCTGCTAAGCTTTTTTATAGAGAATAATGTCTGGAAAGAGAAAAAGAAACACAACTATTTAGTCTATCTGTATAGACAGGGTGGTTGAAAAAGGCATTTAGCACACTTGCCTTCACTGCTTAGTCCTTTGAGTATAGATGTTGGGAAGTCATATTGAGGATGTACAGGGCATTGATGTGACCTCTTCTGGGGTACTGCATCCAGTTCAGGTCGCCCTGTTATAACATAAGAACATAAGAACCAGGAGCAGGAGTAAGCCATCTGGCCCTCCGAACCTGCTCCGCCATTCAATGAGATCATGGCTGACCTTTTCATGGCCTCAGTTCCACTAACCCACCCTCTCACCATAACCCTTAATTCCTTTACTATTCAAAAAATTATCTATCTTAGCTTTAAAAACTTTCAACGAGGTAGCCTCAACTATTTCACTAGGCAGGCAATTCCACAGGTTCACAACCCTTTGGGTGAAGAAGTTTTTCCTCAATTCAGTCCTAAATCTGCTACCCCTAATTTTGAGGCTATGCCTTCTTGTTCTAGCTTCACCCACCAGTGGAAGCAACCTCCCTGCTTCTATCTTATCTATTCCCTTCATAATTTTATATGTTTCTGTAAGATCCCCCCTCGTTCTTCTAAATTCGAATGAATGTAATCCCAGTCCATTCAGTGTCACCTCATAAGCCAACCCTCTTAACTCTGGAATCTCCTCTGCACCCCCTCCAATGCCAGTGCATCCTTTCTCAAGTAAGGAGGCCAAACCTGTATACAGTACTCCAGGTGTGGCCTCACCAACACCTGATATAGCTGCAACATAACCTCCCTGCTTTAAAACTCAATCCCTCTAGCAATGAAGGACAAAATTCCATTTGCCTTCTTAATTACCTGCTGCACCTGCGAACCAACCTTCTGCGATTCATGCACAAGGAAGGATATTATTAAGCGGGAGAGGATTCAAAAGAGATTTATCAGGATATTGCCAGCTGTGGAAGATTTGATTACAAAGAAAGGCTGGTTAGGCTGGGACATTTTTCACTAGAGCATATGAGGTTGAGAGGCGACCTTATGGAATTTTATAAAGTTATGAGGGGTATAGATAAGGTCAATGGTAGGTGTCTTTTCCCTAGGATGGGGGATTTCAAGACTAGGGGGCACATTTTAAAGGAAAACAGAAAGAGATTTAAAAAAGACATGAGGGGCAAATGTTTTACGCAGAGGATGGTTCGCATGTGGAGCGAACCTGCTGAGGAAGTGATGGATGCGAGTACAATTACAATGTTTAAAAGACATTTGGATAAGTACACAAATAGGAAAAGTTTGAAGGGATATGGGCCAGGATAAGGCAGGTGAGACTTTAACTGTTTGGGATTATGTTCGGCATGGACTGGTTGGACCGAAGGGTCTATTTCCATGCTGTATGACTCTATGACTCTATCACTTTTCAGTTAAGAGCTGCTGAAATTACAGCACTTGAGCTGTGAACACTTAGGATGAGAATTCTAACGCATCACTGAGAGAGACCTTTCAGCATTTCGATTGCTGGGTGAATCTGCATTTCAGCAGCTTAAGGTAAGTGTCAATTTTATTTGTGTCTCGCCGGAAGCAGTGCAGGAGATTGTACAGTTGCAACATTATTGAGTCTCCATCTTCAGCTAAACGGTGTTCCCATGGCACTGTCTGCTCAATGGCTCCACCAAGCTGTCCAATCTGAAATGCAAATGAGAAATGTTTGCTGATAAGTACAATACTAGTGACTATTCTTATGCCTGCTTAGCTCAGTTGGCTGAGCAACTGGCGAATGATGCCAACAAGCATATGTTCAATTCCTGTAGTGTCTGAGGTCTCCATGAATGTCCTGCCTTCTCAACCTCACCCCACACCTGAGACATGGTGACCCTTGGGTTAAATTCACCCCTAGTCATCTCTCTCTCATGAGAGTGGGACTATGATTCCTTTACCCTTGATTGCTAGCCTCACCTATTCCAGGCCCAGCAATGCCCCATTTTAAAATTCACATCCTTGATTTCAAATCCCACCCCCCTGCAACACTGCCCCTTCCGTCTCTCTGTGATCTCCTCCAGCCCTGCAAAGATCTCTGTATTCCTCTGTTGCTATTGCCCCACTGGTCACCCCTGTTGAGGCCCCCAAGCTCCAGAATTCACTCCTGAGACCTCATTAGCTCTTCAAGTCAAACCTTAAAATCTTTCTCTTTGATCACGCTATTGGCCAACATTCCTTAATATCTCCATACTGCAATGTCAGATTTTGTCTGGTGGAGCTCCCATGAAATACACTGGGAAGTTTCACTATGTTAAGGGCATGGTATTGAAGCCTTAAGGGAATTCTGGAAGTGGAATTAGAACTAGGTCAGGCAGACTCCCAATCCTCTCTGTGGTCAACTAACCTTCTGCTGCTCACTGTCTATTCTGATATCTGTGGAACCCTGACAAGTGATTGTGAATTCGAACCAGAACAGAGAAAATAGCATAACAGAACATGCCATTTTATGGGGTGGTGAGTCCCTGTAACTAATAATTTATATAACAGTGGAGTAGCAGTGGTTTAAAGTTAAATCCAATGGTCCAGTACTCCAGACCCCAGACTAGATATGGAGTTGAATCCCGTCAAGGTAGCTGATGAAATTTATATTTGAGGTTGTTGACTTGCTCGCTGAGCTGGATTGTTTTTGCTTAGACATTTCGTCACCATGCCAGGTGATATCATCAGTGAGGCCTCCGATGAAGTGATATTGTTCTACTCCACTTGGAATTTATACTGTCCGGTCCATTATAGTGAGTAGTGTCATTTCAGGTTTTGATCTGTATAGGTTTGTATATGGGGTCCTATTCTACGTGTTTGTTGATTGCACTATGGGTTGAGAGCCATGCCACTAGGAATTCCGTAGTGCAATCAACAAACATATAGAATTGGACCCCATACACAAACTCACACAGGACAAAACCGGAAATGACACTACTCACCAAAACGGACCAGACAGTATAAATTCCAAGCGAAGTAGAACAACATCAATTCATAGGGGCCCTCACTGATGATGTCACCTAGCATGGTGACAAAACATCTGAAGGAAAACAAGCCAGCTCAGTGAGCAAGTCAACAACCTCACCCACAACCCCAGCTACAGATCTTTGCTAAAATTTGAAATTTAATTCATAAATATAGAATATAACAGTAGTCTCAAAATGGTGACTATTGACTGTTTAGATCACGTTAATAGAGAAAATCTTCCACATTTACCTGGTATGGCCTACATATGACACCAGACATATAGCAATGGGGTTGACTCTTAACTGCCCTCTGAAATAGACATACAGCCATTTCAACTTATGTTGCTCAGTTCAAGGTAATTGGGATTGGACAATAGATGCTGGTCTTGCCAGGATACGTGATTAAAAATACAGAATTCAAACTTTTACAATACCGAAACAAGGTATTGAGCCCATCAACCCAGTGCTAGCTCTTTGACAACGCAACCCAAAACTAATCCTATTGGATATTGTCCTCTCTGTGGCATCCTAGTTTAGTGCAGAATGATCTTGTCTCTAGGTTATGGGTTTGAGTCCCACTTAAGAAGCTTGAGTAGAAAAATCTAGGCTGACACTCACAGTGCAGTACTGAGGGAGTGCTGCACTGTTGCAGGTGCTGTCTTTCAAATGGCACATGAAACTATGTCTCTAGTGTTCTGTCAGGTGGACCTAAAAGATCGCATAGAATCATAGAATCCCTACAGTGTGGAAGCAGGCCATTTGGCCCACCGAAGAGCATCCCACCCAGACTCACATCCCTACCCTATCCCTGTAATGCTGCATTTTCCGTGGCTAATTCACTTAGCATGCACATCCCTGGACACTACAGGGCAATTTAACATAGCCAATCCACCTAACTGCACACTTTTGGACAGTGGGAGGAAACTGGAGCACCCAGAGGAAACCCACGCAGACACTGGGAGAATGTGCAAACTCCACACAGACAGTCAACCGAGGGTGGAATCGAACCAGTCTCCCTGGCGCAGCGAGGCAGCACTGCTAACCACTGCTAATCAATCTGATGGCATTATTTTAAAGACCAAGAGAGACTTCCCTGGCCAATGTTGGTCCCTTGCATCTAATAGTAAAGAAAACTAGAAGATTATCTGGTCATTATCACTTCGCTAATTGTGGAAGAGTTCTGAGCAATATTTGGCTGTTTTGTTTTGTACATTGCAACCCTTTGAATAGAAGTGCTCAATAGACTGTGACAGACTTTGAGATGACCTGAGGTCACAAAAGACACTGTAGTTTATTGTCCCACCTCAGTATGACAGTACCTGCTCAGTTATCTTAGTCAATCCTTTCGCAAGTTGCTTCATTTGTTTGACAATCTTCACTGATTTACTCAATATGGAGTTGGTAATCCCATGGGTGGCACTGAATTCAGAGATCACATACTGTAGAGGGTCTCGCCAGGAATGTAGGATAACAATTGCAAGGCTCAGCAGACGTTCATGCTAAAGTTGAACACATTGCAAATGATTTTTTTTTCCATTTTAAATGCTATTTTTTAATCCTCATTATCTACTTTTCGTTTGTTCTCAGCCCTTAAATTGGAGTGGGTAATGTGTGCCAAAGTGCACCCTTGTATGGAAATCACTCACAAACACTCAATCTAGGCTGACACTCCCAGTGAGGGAGTGCTGCGCTGTTGCAGATGCTGTCTGTAGAGCTCTGCCAAGTGGACCTAAAAGATCCTATGGTATTATTTTAAAGAAAAGCTGAAGAGAGAGAAAGCTCCTTTGGGTGAGTTAATGATACTCAGTGTTTGCCTCTGCACTGTCAATACCACAGGGGAGGAGGAGGAGGGAGAAGCCCATACAAACATTCTTAGGCTTTTGCCAAAATAAGAGAACATCAAGGGTATGCAGTATGGCTCAGTGGTTAGTACTGCAGCCTCACAGTGCTAGGGACCCAGGTTCAAACCCAGCCTCGGGTGACTGTTTGTGTGGAGTATGCACATTCCCTCCTTTTTCTGCCAAGTGCTCCGGTTTCCAAATATGTGCAGGTTTGGTGGACTGGCCACACTTAAAATATATTGTAGCATTCAGGGATGTGAAGGTTAGGTAGATTAGCCATGGAAAATGCAGGGTTAAAAGGATAGGATGGATCTGGGTGGTGGGGAGTGAGCCCTGTGGAGGGTCAGTAGTGCATACCCAATGGGCTGAATGGCATCTTTCTACATTGTAGGGATTCTATGTGTGTGGCCTGCTAACATGGGCCAGGAGAATTAATTCCATTCCCCTTCAACACTCAGACCCCTCACCACCCAAACAAAACATTGTAGGTCGGAGTCAAATTGGCCAAGGAAACTGCATTGATGGCATTTGAGGAGAAGGTCATTCTCAACCCCTTACAAGCATGGCAATTTTTCACTGATCATATACAGTGTTAAGATGCAGAGAGATTTAACAATGTCACAAGCCAAACTGAACCCAGGGACTGAGCCTGGTTTCTGGCTTCTCTTCCTATCTCCAAGTGAGAGGTCATAGCTTCTTGATCAGTCAGAGAATCGAGGGTTACAGGCAAAATGCAGGAAAGTGGACATGAGAAATGTCGGATCAGCCATGATCCCATTGAATGGCAGAGCAGGCTCAAAGTTCTGAATGGTCTACTCCTGTTCCTATTTTTTACGGTCTTGTTTATGGGAACTATTTACCTGCCTCTCCTCCCTAGTTAATGAGGAGCGAAGGGTTTTCCGAAATTCAGGTGCATGTGCAAATTTTTGCAGGGTCTCCCTCTTCAAGTTGTTCCACTAGAAATACTCACAGGTGTACGTAATGCATCTTCCTTGTTCTGAGGGGTCACAATGGAGGACGTGTGGCAGCTATTGATAATGCTGAAGTTAAGATGTTGGCCTTGAATAAAATGTTGTTTCTGTGAAAGGACAAGTAACCAGAATCAGTCATTTCTTCCCGTAACCTGCTGTTCTGCTAAATAGGATCATAATTGCTTTGAATGGTTTATTGTCACTTACATTTTACAGTGAACAATGCAGTAAAATACAGAAAAAAGCTTCAACTGTTGCCACAACCTGACACTATTTTGAATAGTATAAGAATTAAAGAGTAAAAGATATAACTGGAAGAGTCTATACCTTTGTTCACCACCTCCACCATGAATCTTGAGGCTCATGACTAAATGGTCTAGTTGTGGCAATAGCTCTACTTTCCTGCCTAAGGCCCCCCCTCCCAAAAGGCTAAGCTCTGTTTACACTCCAAAGGTTAATTCAGAATATATTCAACCACCCAGTCTACAATTCTGTAATTCCAAGACTATTGTCCCTGCTGAGAGAAGAAATTCCTCCTCATCTCTGTCTTAACAGTGCCATTCCCACCCAGATCTGGGTTCTGTAATGAAAGGTGCATAAAAATTTGTAATATTATTATTACTTCTGGTATTTGAATTGTTTAATTAAAGCCTAATGCGCGTGGGTTAATGCTTTGAAGGTTATATTTTTTAAAAGATCAGAAAGTCATTCTGGAACAGTGACCTAAATGCACTAGTTCAAAGAAGACACATGACTGCACTCGAGGCCTTGGGAGATCTCTGGAGTGTAAATGGAATTAGATGTTTATACTTTTCAGTTTATGATGGACGGTGTGAACATATCAAGCCATTAACAACACCAAATCCAGAAATTGTGGAAAAGCTCAGCAGACCTGACAGCGTCTGTGGAGAGAAATCAAAGTTAACATTTCAGTTCGAGTGACTCTTCCTCAAAAGTTAACATTTCAGTTCGAGTGACCCTTCCTCAGTTCTCCACAAATGCTGCCAGATCTGCTGAGCTTTTCCAGCAATTTCTGTTCTTGTTTCTGATTTGCAGTATCTGCAGTTATTTTTGTTTTTATATTAAGTCATTAGTTTTGTTTCCAGTTTTGTTCAGTTCTCCTCTCGTGGGAGAACTTTTGTGGTCCCAGCTGATGGTATTTTGGACAAATCAGATCCCAGAATAAAATCTGGCTCGATAAATTCCATGTTAAATTTTTTTTGTTTCATCAGTTAACATGATGGGTTCTAGCTGAAAATATTCATATGTGGTTGCTCATATTCTTTAACAACAGAACATAAGTTTATTACACAAAAGAAATGAGCCCCACTATATTATGTATTACAGTTAGAAAGATTTAAACACAAACATTAAAACAAAATTTCAACTTGTTTCCCAACACTATCTGTTACAGACACTCATACTCAAATTATACTCCTATGTCAACTCTTCAATTTCTAATTAACTGATTTCTCCCAGTTTCTCTTTCTTGAACTGTAGAGACTATTTTACAATTCCTTCCTGAATCTGATGCCGTAAAATCTTTCCCAAGTCATAGGGTCATGAGTCATACATCGTGGAAACAGACCCTTTAGTCCAAATAGCCTATGCTGACCATGTTTCCAAATCAAACTAATCCCACTCGCCTCTGAAGGTCTAACCTTTTCAATTCTAACAACCTGAAGATTTTTGTACTAAACCTTCCTGGCTTGGAAACTTCGCAAACAAGAGGAAAAATGACATTACTGCTGCAGTGACTGGTTTCCTCTGAACTGAAGAATTTCAGAACTGAACTGAATGAAACAGAACTGAACTAAAACCTGCTAAGAGAGAAAGTAAAAACTTGCCTCTGAATTTCATGTTTGATTCCTCTCAATCTTCAGCATCTACCCTGGTAATGTTCATCAAGATTTTATATGTTTCAATGAGATCACTTCTTGTTCTTCTAAAACATAGAATATAGGAGCAAGCATAGACCATTCTGCCCTTCGAGCCTGCTCCGTCATTCAATACAATCATGGCTAATCATCCAACTCAGCTCCCCCTGTTCCCACTTTCTTTCCTGTTAGCCCTAGGAACAATCTCTACATCTTTCTTGAAAGTCTTTAGTTTTCTGTGGTAAGGAATTTCACAGGCTGACCACTCTCTGGGCAAAGAAATTTCTCCTCATCGCAGTCCTAAACGGCCTACGCAGTATCCTTAGACTGTGAGCCCTGATTCGGGACGCCCCAATCATAAGGAGCCTCTCCTTCGTATGGTCCTGTTAGAATACTATTGATTTCTTTCATATTCCCCACCCCAGATAGTCCTAATCCATGCAGTTTCTCCCTGTACATCAGCCCTGCCAATCCCAGAAATCAGTCTGGTAAACCTTCTTTGTTCTCGTTCAGTGGTCCTTCCTCAGACGAGGAGACCATAACTGCACGGAAAGAGCATAAAGATTTGCGGGATGAGATAGACCAGGTTCACATTGCAGCCACTGTAGGCTGTTGGCGTTGGCAGTGAATGCTTGAGGTGGTGCATAGATAGCCAAGTCAGACATGGTGGATCTACATTCATCCAGACTTGCATTAAATAATTATTAACACTAATCCTCAACGCATCTGATACCAAAGCAACAACCTGTCGAAGTAATAATTCACTACTCATCATCACAGACATTTTAGGATTTTTAAGAAAGTTAGTTTGATCCCTTGACTTCATGAATATACTCAAGGATTAAGGGCAGGAAAAGACCATCAGCCCTCGAGCCTGCTCTGTCATTCGATAAGATCTTGACTGATCTGATTATGGTCAATTTCCTGTCTGCACACCTCCCAAAACATCCTTGTTGATTGATAATTTGCCCAAATGGGCATGGAATATATTCAATGACACAGCTTCCAGAGCTCTCTGAGAAAGAAAATTTCACAGCCTCTGAGAGAAAATAATTCACCACATCTTAATCTTAAAGGAAAGGCTCTAATTTTTAAATTGTACATGCTAGTTCTAGACTCACCCAAATGGGTAAATATCCGAGATAGGAGGAACTGCAGATGCTGGAGAATCTGAGATAACAAGGTGTAGAGCTGGATGAACACAGCAGGCCAAGCAGCATCATAGGAGCAGAGAGGCTGACGTTTCGGGCCTAGACCCTTCATCAGAAAAGGGGGAGGGGAAGGGGGTTTTGAAATAAATAGGGAGAGAGTGGGAGGCGGATAGAAGAGGTATAGAGGAGAGGATAGGTGGAGAGGAAACAAACAGGTCGAAGAGGCGGGGATGGAGCCAGTAAAGGTGAGTGTAGGTAGGGAGTTGGGAAGGGGATAGGTCAGTCCAGGGAGGACGGACAGGTCAAGGGGGCGGGATGAGGTTGGTCGGTAGGAGATGGAGGTGCGGCTTGAGGTGGGAGGAGGGGATAGGTGGGAGGAAGAACAGGTTAGGGAGGCAGGGACGAGCTGGACTGGTTTTGGGATGCGGTAGGGGGAGGGGAGATTTTGAAACTTGTGAAATCCACATTGATACCATTGGGCTGCAGGGTTCCCAAGCGGAATATGAGTTGCTGTTCCTGCAACCTTCGGGTGGCATCGTTGTGGCACTGCAGGAGGCCCAGGATGGACATGTCGTCTGAGGAATGGGAGGGGGAGTTGAAATGGTTCGCAACTGGGAGGTGCAGTTGTTTATTGCGAACCGAGCGTAGGTGTTCTGCAAAGCAGTCCCTGAGCCTCCGCTTGGTTTCCCCGATGTAGAGGAGGCCACAACGGGTACAGCGGATGCAGTATACCACATTGGCAGATGTGCAGGTGAACATCTGCTTGATGTGGAAAGTCTTCTTGGGGCCTGGGATGGGGGTGAGGGAGGAGGTATGGGGGCAGGTGTAGCACTTCCTGCGGTTGCAGGGAAAAGTGCCGGGTGTGGTGGGGCTGGAGGGGAGTGTGGAGCGGACAAGGGAGTCACGGAGAGAGTTGTCCCTCCGGAAAGCAGATAAGGGTGGGGAGGGAAAGATGTCTTTGGTGGTGGGGTCGGATTGCAGATG